CTACAAAAATCTGAATTTTGGGGTGCCCTCCGAAATTCAATTTTCTCCAAAAACAACACCAAAACCAAATATCCATGGCTCATTAGCAGTCACTAGAAAAACCTGAATTTTGGGGTGCCCTCTGAAATTCAGTTTTCTCCAAAAACAACACAAAAAACAAATATCTCTGGCTCATTAGCAGTCACTACAAAAATCTGAATTTTGGGGTGCCCTCCAAAATTCAATTTTCTCCAAAAACAACACAAAAAACAAATATCTGTGGCTCATTAGGAGTCACTAGAAAAACCTGAATTTTGGGGTGCTTTCTGACATTCAATTTTCTCCAAAAACAACACAAAACCAAATATCCATGGCTCATTAGCAGTCACTACAAAAATCTGAATTTTGGGGTGCCCTCTGACATTCAATTTTCTCCAAAACCAGCACTAAAACCAAATATCTGTGGCTCATTAGCAGTCACTACAGAAACCTGAATTTTAAGGTGCCCTCTGACATTCAATTTTCTCCAAAAACAACACAAAAAAACAAATATCTGTGGCTCATTAGGAGTCACTAGAAAAACCTGAATTTTGGGGTGCTTTCTGACATTCAATTTTCTCCAAAAACAATGCCAAAACCAAATACCCATGGCTCATTAGCAATCACTGCAAAACCCTAAATTTTGGGGTGAAATTCAAATTTCTCCAAAATTCAATTTTCTCCAAAAACAACACCAAACCAAAATATCCATGGCTCATTAGCAGTCACCACAAAACCCCAAGCCCACAGTTGTGATGGGAGCCCAGGCAGAATTTTGGATTTTAGCTCCTAAGTCACTGTGGTGCACATGAAAATTTAACTCCTGGCTTGTTCCTGTCTGATGCCAACGCCTGGAGAATTGCTGCTGATGCTTTTAAAATATGGATTAGTCCAAGAAAATGCAAAAAAAAAACCCCACCTCCCCCAACCTTACTCCAGATATAAAATGGAAATTAAAAATAAACCAGCCCCACCACAAGCAGGAAACAATCTCTTGCAGATAATTCTGTCTCCAGAATAAAACAAGCTGGGTTTTTTTAAAGCAGGGAACATGAATAATAAAATACCATTCTTACAAAAAAAAGTTAACAAAAACAGAAGTTCCCAAAGCCTCCAGGGCATGTGAAAACTGGGCTGGAGCCTGAGTCTATGGAGTGGAATTCACAGTTTTAATTTAAAAAAATGCCTTGGAAATGGCCCGAACGGAGGTGGGCGTGGAGAGAAGCTACAAAGGATGTTTGCAAATATGCAAATGGCAGCTTTCCTTTCATTTCAGGGAGACCCTGAGTCATTAACTATTCTCCTTAATTAATTAGAAAATGCTATCTTGGAAGATAAAAACCCCAATCCGAGGAGAAGGACTGAGATGCCTTTCAGCAGCAGGAAAGCTCCCGGGAGCCTTCCCTGCACATCCCAGCCCTTGTGCAGCTCTTCCCACCCCTTTGGGACCCAAGCCATGCCCAGCCCCTGAATTCCAGCAGCTCAGGGCTGGCAGCGATTTTTGTCCATCCCTATTTTTGTCCTGCATGAGTGGGAAGGAGGGACCTCACCCCACAAACGGGGGCTGAGCTGGGCTGTGCTCCTGGGCTCCTCATCCCATCCAAACCTTCCCACCACATCCCATCCAAAATTCCTCATCTCATT